TTCAGATTTATATCATACGTCAGTTATATAACAAATTTAGAACTTTTTTTTTTTTTTTTTTTTTTTTTTTTTTTTTTTTTTTTTTTTTTAACGAGGAGAATCTTTGAAAGACTTCCCGCCGCGGGGGAAAACACGGCGGGGGCGTGTGGGATTTCCACCCACTAAACTCCTCGGCGTTCTCTGCGCTGTGCGTAGGCTAGTGAGCGGGAACGGCAAGCCATACTTCCGCTCACTACGCACGAGTCCCATGGACTCCGTCTTCGGCAGGGGTCACAGTGGCTTCACCACACTTCCCCTCCGACTCCAGAGCAGCGTGCCGGGAACGCCAAGCACGCCACTCTCACTCCAGCCTATGTTGCCCGGACGCCGGTTCCCCACCAACGCCCGGAGGCTCCTCTCACTGGGGAGGCATTTGGCGAGCGTAGGCCCGCTGCCTTCTACCCAGCCTTCGTCGACGCAGGGGCGCCGAGGAGGGGTCATCTTCCCGCGCTCGTTCAGCGGCCTCTTTCCGCGAGATGACGCACTCGCTGAACCGGACCACCGCCTCCCAGGCACTCTCGCTACCGACCATGGCCTGAACCACTGCCGGCAACGAGAGATCTGCGCCAACCACCGCGGTGAGCTGGCGACGCTCTATCGCCCACGCAGGGCACTCCGCCAAGGTGTGATCGGGGGTGTCATCCATGCAACTGCAATGGTGACACGCCGCGGTCGGCTCTCTTCCGACTATGTGGCACAGATACCTCCCAAAGCAACCATGCCCCGAGAGGATCTGCACCAGCCGGAAGGTCAAGGAACCGTGTCGGCGGTCCACCCACTCTTTGAGGAGCGGGCGAATAGCCTCCACGGTTCGCAACCCGGCCACTGGCTCAGAGAGCTTCCGCCTCCACCGGCGAAATAGCAAGGCGAGCGCGGAGCGCCGCCAACCTTCCACCCGATCCCGGTCCGGACTCGTTCCCCGGGATCGCTCTCGCGCACGCTGGTGGTACACCTCCGCCAGAACCTGGGCATCCAGTTCCCAGGGAGGCGTCCCAGCCAGCACGCAAGCCGCCTCATAACTAATTTAGAACTTTGTTTAACGTCTGTCCTTTGTTTAGGACGTCAGCGGGAGCACACAGATAGTTTAACATTTTAGAAAACATTAGTATTGTTATTTAACTAAAATAAAACTTAATAAACAGTTTGAATCAATGTATTTATAGGGTTTATTTTATTGTTTATACAGGGTGACTGGTGAATTACTATCGATATTTGAGGACGTGATATTTGACGATCATATATGACAAAATAAAAATTAATATAACATAAATTATTAATAAACTTCTAAGTAAAGTTAACCAAAAGTTATGTAATTAATTACGCATCGTATGAACACCCTACAGATTAGGTATACACACACACACACACACGCGTGCGGCGGCGTCCACACTTGGAACACTTGGAACGTATCCACGCTTTATTTATTTATACGGAAATTTGGTCAAAAATTAAGTACCAATTTTTTTTACATAATTCGAATGAGAATCATGTACCGAGTATTCTCCTTAAATATTGATAGTAATGCACCAGTCACCCTGTATTTTTATTTTATTATGTTAAAAATTATGCTGAATTTTCCTATTTTTTCGTTTGACTTAATGTACAACACGTCAATGAAAGATGTTCTGTTCTCAGTTGACTGATGTATCGATTTGTCAATGGGAAAGTAATAATCATGTAGGGTGACTATAAAATATTTCAACAACTTATATTCGAGAGGGAGTCGGTCGTGTTTGTTAAATATTTTATTGTATAATCAATCATAATGATCAATTTGAATTATTTTGTACAAATCTGTACTAGAGAGTGATGATTAATGGAATTACAAACTAAGTTCCTAATTAAAATCGGATTGTATCTAGCATGTTTGATAGAGATGGACCGATGTTGGAATGATTCATTGTATGTCTATCACAAAATGTCACATTTTAAAATGTTTATGTATATGTATATGTAGTAATAAATATATGTAGAAACGAAAGTTTTCAGTGACATATTTAATACATAATTTGAATGACTTGTAATTTTACTTTTATTATATTTATTCATGCATTTACTTATCATTTTCTTTTTTCGACATTCACCGCGTTTGAAAGACTGTCTCATTAAATTTTTGCAAAGTATTTTTGCTGTACACAATCTTTAAAATATATGTCTCATTAGGAATATGTAGGACGCAGTTTTTTAACTAAATTTAGGTTCATTTTAATTTATACAACGTGTAACGTAATTAACGCACACCCTCAAATACCCCAATGCGAATATAATGATATAAACGCAATGCATACACCAAATATTATTTATATGTGCGTTTGCATTTTTTATTTGTGAAATTAGTTATCCCAATTTCGTGCAAATAATATGGTCCGCTATTCAGCGACACTCCGCTGCACACACACATACACAGACAGACACAATGTACTCGCCGCGCCCGCGCCCCTCTCTCCGAGTGCCGTCCGACAATAATAAGAAATAGGTAATAATAAGTACACGAAATAATTACATACATTATGATTTTTCTTTCCATCACACTTTTCAAGCTTTAGATTGTTGACATTAAATTTTCTTTTTAATGTGAAGCCAATATTTTATAATTACTGATTTGTTACATTAAATTTGTAAATAAGAATTATTAAACATCTGATAACGCGTGATTTGATTAGACACCACAATACCTACGACAAAGTTAAACACAGTCGGCCTGTTTAAATGGTGTGTATCAAAATATTTACAATAATTTAAAGATCATAAAAAAACTTACAGTTTAATTTGCACTCGCACGGCGTTGTCGTTTTAAAACATTTTCAAAATGTCCACCGCCTTGTTCAATGCACTTTAATTACCGTTTTCGCAATTGTGGTTTTATTTTAGATAATACTGCAATGTCACTTTTCACTTTTACAGAGGCGGTTATTATCTTATTTTTTAGTTCCTCGGCACTTGTTATCTCTGTGTTATAAACTAGCGATTTAATTCGCCCCCACAAAAAAAAGTCGAGTCGCGTCAAATCAGCTGATCTAGGAGGTCAATGGACACGTGCGTAGGTACTTGATGTATTGAATGTTAGTGTACCGAAACGACACAGCGAAATGCGCGACTAAGATTTTATTGGCACTTTACACTTGACCTCTTTTCGATAAGGTGGACGCGGCGTGACTAACTTACCCAAAACACATTTTGTTGACTTCGATGTTTAGTTATTATTACTCTGATTCCTGGAATTAGTCTGCCGTCTCGCTCTATTGTAATGTTATTAAACCAAAGAAAGAAGGAGAAAGTAATAATTTTTGTATTACGCGGCTTTCTTTTATGCACTGTAGTGACCTTGCTGTGTGCCGGTTGTCGCTATGGTGTTGCGTGCGTAGTTATTATTATATACTATTTTACCCTTGAAATAAGTATCAGTTTTCTTTAATTGAATGATGATTACTAATTAAATATTTCATTTTAAAAATCTTAATACCCTGACTTACGATCCATTTTCATTTCCATTAATTTTCGTTTCTATGAAGTGTTTAAATGACTGTGTGTAGGGTGACTATAATTTACTTAGTTCTATCTAAATTTGAGAAAAAAAATGACCTACATAAAAAACTATCAAAATCGATCCAGTATCCGATTCTGATCAAACTACTTTCAGGGTGTGCGTTAATTATGTTACACGTTGTATAAGAAAACATTTGTCATATACTCAAATTATGCTCTTCCTAGTTACTTAAGGAACTTGACGCTTTACACTTATCATATTGCTCCTGCAATCCATCATAGATATACCGTTTTTATTTTGAAAACCACTTCAATAAATATGCCAAAGATTGGCTCCACACATGCGTATGTGTGTACACCACTTAGAGTAATGTGAATACTTCGCATTTCGTAGAAGCAATATGTTGTTATTATCTACTTAAAATTTTGTAACTGTAATGGCTTTAACCTTGGAACTCAACAACAAGGCTTTCACAGACCCCACTGTAAATGGAAGGGTCGCTAATCTATGCGTTATTCTATTGTGATTTATTTGTAAGCTTGGCTATGGAATTGAACCGACGAAGCGTACGATATAACTTGTACCTTTTTTCATAATTTTGCGCCGCTTTGTGTGTTGATGTATTTTTTGAAAGGACTGATTTTTGAACACAATGAGCTAAATAGACTTTGTTTAAACTGAATAGCTGATGTAAAATAATATAAAATAAAGTTTCCGAAGAGGCTCATCAAAATATATGGAAACAATAAATTAGTATTGAATCGAATTTGTAATACAAATACGATAGACACTAAGTTGGAAGTTTGAGTGTTCTTGTTGTAAAATTGAGTCGGGCTTTGGGGCTGTTTAGCGTTCTTTTGTTTAACTTCCATTGTATCCCGCTCTGTGGCAATCAAGATTATTTTATTGTATTTATATGAAATTGTTCTAAAAGAATTCCTAATTGCTGTAAGTTTTGTGCTTTGTAAAAATACTTATAGTTTATGGCTTAATCAAAAATTAGTTTTAAGTGTTGTTCTTGATAGATATGTTAGTATAAAGTAAAAAAATAAGTATTATATATTGATTACATACTGAAGCACAAGATTTTTATTGAAATTGAAGTCAATTTAATGAAATTTTTAAGTTTTAAAACATTTTATAACAGCCATGTGGTATTATATCCATAATCTGTGTATCCATTATCGATATTTTCCAAGATATAAAAGATATCCAGCACAAAAGCTTCTGCAAACTCAAAATATATTCTCTTTAAAGTTTTGAACGACACTCCTATCCTTATCGGTCGGCTATTTGTCGCTCTTGATATTGGTCGAGATGAAGGAGATTTCGGCTTGATTTTTGTTAATAAAACCATACCTACCTTTATTTAATACTTGTACCAAAGAAGATATCTGAACGCCGTCAACACAATATGTGTTTTAATGTTATATACATATGATTGAATATCAAACTTCACATACATTTTCAATAGATAAGCTACGTTTTGAACGATACTTTGCTGTTATCCAAGCGGACATCCGCCCTGGGTTATCTGGAGCTCTTCAAAATGGAACCCAAGATGGGACTAAAGTTGTTTGCTCGTTGTTACCAACTACGTGTGTCTAGAGGCTAACTTTGATATTAAATATTTAAAACTTTATATTAGTTTCTTCATATATACTTGTTTAATACATAATGTTTAGTAATAATTATTTATAATGATTTAAATATTTGTCTACATCACAATTCTAAGCTTAAAGTTATTTATATTTAGTTAATAATAATTAAATGTCCAAATATTTAGTTAACAATTGGTTTTACAATTTATAATTAGAGCCTTTGTCTTACATAATGTTAAGTGTTTTATTATTTAATTATAACTCTTATGAGAGGAACTAGCTCCCAATATTATAACCTACCCTTACCTAAATGTCACTTTTGAATATTATAAATACGATACAAGTGTTAGACTGGGGATTCTTTTATGAGTTGAGGAGCAATAAGCATATAAGTGGAAGTGCTGCCTAAATTATTTCTAACAATAGCTTATTCCTTAATAAGATTTTCAAGGAGTGTATTCATTTGTAAATCTTTTATTCTCTCTCTATTTTTCTTTCTTCCTCTCTCCCTTTCCGTATAGTGTATTCATAATGAATGCAAGCCCAAGACTTATGATCTTAAATATCTAACGAGTCGGTCCCACGTTTATAGCGTTCGGAGCGTTGTACATGCCTAAAGTATTTAACTGCGGTGATCCTAACTTAACTAATCTGAAACATTCCTATAGCGGAGATTATCTTACTGGCGTTATGTTAGTTATTGTGTTTGTGGTGTGTAGCTTATGATTGTGTCACATATTAATTTATATGCGGTTGAAATGTATCTGGTACTATTAGTATATTTAAACTTTACCGGGCGATCTCTTTTGTATAATCTTATACATAAAATTCACGTGCCGCGGTGTTAGACAGAGAACACATCCGAAACGGCTGGACTGATTCTCATGAAATTTTGTGTGAATATCTAGTTTGTCTGAAAATCGGCAAACATCTATTTTTCATACTCCTAAGTCATAAGGGTTATTCACCCTTAATTTTTTTTATTATTTTCGGACAACATACAACCCAACATTTTTATTTTTATTTTCACCAACCCGTATTTTTTATTTGACAATACAACGTTTGCCGGGTCAGCTAGTAATCGATATATTGGTTATTTCTATAATATATAAGTACGAGTGATATCATCTTATAATGCACTTAACATTCGAGTATATTGTAATTGTATCTATTCCTGTTATCTCTCCGGCAGTAAGACGCTTTAATAATCGATTAAATTTGAGTGTTACGACCGAGATATCGTCTGATCGGCTGTACGGAGGCTGGGATGACTGTTTTGTATCCACGGCTAACTATCATTGAAATATATTCAATATTACATACACGTAACACATTGTTACTATATATATTATAATGTTTATAAATTTCTTTTATTCGACATGTTATTAACAGTTTTTTTTATATAATAATCAGATCTAAGACTTATAACTATTCATTTTAATGAAACTAATATTTTTCTGATTACTACGCGTATTTTATTATTTTAAACTATAATACATACTTCCGACGTTTTGATTACTTTGCAGCAACCGTGATCACGGGCAGACAAAATGTGAATGCTTTATATAATGTTGATACAAAAATATTATTAATTATATCTTATTTGATACACTAAGAAGTTTTTTATCATCGATATTAATTAAATGTAAGTCACAGCCAGCCCTAGCCTACAATCCTGATATCTACACTCCACAGGCCGTACAAATTGCCTCTTACGTTAAAGGTAAGCAATACACTGTACTACATATAGTCTTGGGAATATCTGGCTCTTAGCTGACTTTGTTTATCGGTCAGCTGTTATATGTAACTTCATTAATTAATAATATATTTTGGTATATATGAAACTAATATTATACGATGTACTACGCGTGGTTTATTATTTTAAACTACATACATATTACCGAGATTTAAATCAGAAAATATTAGTTTCATTTAAATGAATACTCGTGAATGTCTTAGACTTCATTATACGTTGGTTTTATTCATAAACGTACGAAACTGGACAGCTTGCACGTTATCTTCTAATTTCAATGTTATAGTAATTTTAACGAAATTTTCCGTAAGTACCAGGTTCGAATCCTGTTCATTTTTATGTTAATTTTAATTCCGGATTTAGTTCAACAATTATTTTTTTGTTATATAATATAACAATATTTAATTCTACGTTATTGTTATTCATGGAGTAAGGACACGTAAGCTCAATTAGAAAAGTGGCTGAATGTAGATATTAATATATTCGTTGGTTCTATCGCTAATGTACCCGAATTTTATTTTGCTGTAACTATACATGAAATATTTGCAAATATATTGTACTTCACGATAAATAAGATGTCAGCTTACTTAATATAATTTTTATTACTTAGATAAATTTAAAAAACAATTTGTTTATTATAGGCACGTGTAGCTCTTAGGTAAAATATTAATACAATAACTATTTGATATTCTCAATCTAATTAAATCGATTCGTTTATCAATGTTTATTCTGTAGAAAGCTGTAACAAAATACTCGTTTTACAAACAATGGTTTATAACCAATTCAATTGGCACGGGTCCACGCTTTAACATTGAATGAAGAAACTGTTGCGTAGCTAATTGAAACATCCGGAACATCTTCATGGGAAAATAATCTTAATATATATATAGATTGAAACTATAATAGATTAATTCTATGACGCTAGAGGTGATCGTAATTACGATAAGCGTACTATAGTTTTACGGGCAGTAAAACATTCTACGTACGAAAACGATTCGGTTCTAATGTACCAAAATAAAGTTGGTGGCCAATGTTTGATCAAATGCATCAGTTTGTTAATCTATACTAATATTATAAAGCTGAAGAGTTTGTTTGTTTGTTTGTTTGTTTGTTTGTTTGTTTGTTTGTTTGAAAGCGCTAATCTCCGAAACTACTGGTTCGAATTGAATAATTCTTTTTGTGTTTTATAGTCCAGTTATCAAGGAAGGCTGTGGGCTATATAACATCACGCTATGACCAATAGGAGCAAAGATATAGTGGGAAATGTGTAAAAAACGGGAGAAATCATTTCATCTTTGAAGCCTTCCGTTGCGTGCGCCGTGAAAACGGTTCAAGATACACAAAAAATATGTATTAAAGAATAATAGCTCTTTTAATGATCTAAAAGACAGTTCGCGACAAACTAACTCAAAAAAATCGTTTTTATGGTACCTAATTTGGTTGAAATAATTTTATAAAATCTTTATTCAAGTAAACAAATAAATATGTTGTTGGTTAAGAGTACTTCATTGTGAATAAAAAAGACATAGGTTTTACCCTGAAAACTCTACGGGAACTCGACCATTCCGAAAACCCCGCAAGAAAGGGAACTATGTGGGAAGAACCAAAAATCTGCCGGAAGTCACTATTCCACGCGGACGGAGTCGCGGCAAAAGCTAGTACTTTATATGGGGGTTTTCGATATAAATAAACTTAATATACAATTAATATGAAGAAGAATATATTTCATTATGTTAATTTAAATCCTGACTAATAGTCGCTGAGCTAATCTATACTAATATTATATAAAGCTGAAGAGTTTGTTTGTTTGTTTGTTTGTTTGAAAGCGCTAATCTCCGAAACTACTGGTTCGAATTGAATAATTCTTTTTGTGTTGGATAGTCCAGTTATCGAGGGAGGCTGTAGGCTATATAACATTACACTACGACCAATAGGAGCAAAGTGTAGTGGTAAATATAGTGGTGGTAAATGTGTAAAAAACGGGAGGAATTATTTCATCCTTGAAGCCTTCCGTTGCGTGCGCCGTGAAAACGGTTCAAGATACACAAAAAATATGTATTAAAGAATAATAGCTCTTCTAATGATCTAAAAAACAGTCCGCGACAGTATATGTCTATCTTTTAAGATTAACTCACAAAAACCGTTTTTATGGTACCTAATTTTGTCGAAATAATTTGATTAAGTTGTATTAAAATAATAATATTAATCTTTATTCATATAAACAAATAAATATGTTGTTGGTTAAGAGTACTTAATTATTAATTAAAAAAACATAGGTTTCATCCTGAAAATTCTACGGGAACTCGACCATTCCGAAAACCCCGCAAGAACGGGAACTATGTGGGAAGAACCAAAAATCTGTCGGAAGTAACTATTCCAAGCGGACGAAGCCGCGGCAAAAGCTATTTAGTTTTATAAAAACAAATCCATTCCTTACTGTATCTATGTGAGTCGTACTGACTTCTGTTTTAGCTAACGCCCACTCCGCTAGAATGTTGATGTACAATAATTAGTTTAATCTAAATATAGTTTATAATGTACATTTATTGAGGAATGGTATAGAGTTTAACTGAACAATTATTTAATGCTTTTGTGTTTTATTCTTTGAGAGCGTTAATCACTTCTGTGTTCTGAATGTATCTAAGGTTCTGATAGCTCTATATGTTCATCTATATATGATTTTGATACACATATATTAATTAATTAAATTTTATGTCTACGAAAAATAATATTTCATAAGCTTTCCAAAGATAGAAACATATAAGTCTGTTTGTATGTGTGTGTTTTTTTTATATTAAGTGATGAAAAATGTTTATCATACATAACTATTAGGTTCTTATAATACTGTTTTATATAACAAAATATATTAAATTATATAAAAAATATCGATCACGTCACTTAATTATGACTTGTCTATAATTAACGTCTTCGTAGAATCCAAGGGTTAAACGAAAACTTAATGTAGATAGGAAATGACAACTTGAAATGACGACAGAGACATTACAGAAATAGATGGCACGTGACTTTAGATTATATTAAAACAATTATATGGATTTTGTATTAATATAAGATAAAATTCTTAACACTATTAAGATTGTTAATGAATGTTAAAAAGAATTAATATGAAATATATTTTGTATAATTTACATTAAGAATGTTTTGAATATTTATTAAGGCTAGTATAAAATCCTTTTTACTAAATAAACATTAAGCATATAAAGAAACATAGTAAAGACTATCGCCTATACTATCTAATTTGCT